TTGGCAAATTTGTCGTCTGCTTTGACGGCGTCCGTGTTTGATGCAATTGCGCGGCGATAATCACCGCAGAGAATGTCAATGTGAGTGGGCATGTGATTAAGGTGGCCTGAATCGGGGATGAGACCGCGGAGGTTGTCGGCGGCGTTGAGTGCCTTTTCCGGAAAGGGAGACATCTCCATCAAGTGGATGTAGAGATGCAGCAACCCCGGATGGCGTGCATGTTTTGATAATGTCTTTTCCAAAACAGCCCTAGCATCCAAAGTTCGAGCCCCCTTAGCGGCTTCTCCTGTTTTCAAGTCCCACAACTCCCACGGAGTCAGGTTCATCAAGGCATCGACATATATTGCCACAACGTCGGGGTGGGACGGATGAGCCTTGTAGACCGCTTCCATAGCATCAGCAAAACCGACGTTCCACGAATATCCCTCCTTGGATCTTGCATGATCCTTGGGATAGCGATGCTGCAATGCACCAATGAGTGCCTGTTCGGCGGGAGTTGTTGACTTTGAGTGTTCCAGAGCTTTCAGGGTTGCTTGCCTTGCCCTCCGAACGTTCAATTGCAGTTCTGTTTCATCGAAGACTCCCCACTAACTCGTAACCGATTAATTGAGCTGTGCTTTTCAAGAACCTAAAAAGGCAAGGGATATATTTACAGGTTTGTTGTAATTCGGGCCGACGGCGTATGCTACGCCCCAATGCGCCATAGCGCACTCGGGGTCGGAAACAGCCGCGCGTTCGAAGCATTGGATGGCTTCCTCGTGGTTGAAGCCGTAGCACCATACCAGCCCCCGACTAAACCATCGCTGGGCATCGGGGTTTTTGCTCGTTATGGGCATGTGGAAGCCCCCAAGATCGAAGTAGTCGTCGTCCCCGCCGTCAAGTGCCAGTGACGACGGCTTATCATTGGGTTGAGGCCCCATTTTGATGAAATGCACCTGCCGAGTCGAGTCTGGATCCAAGATCCTAATCGGTACCAGTGAAAGAGGGGAACGGTAGATGATGGATAATATGAAGTTGGATAAGGTGCTGACGGGATGAAGTGTTCGGCGAGCGGGCTTGGCAGCCGTTGACGAGAGCTTCGATTTGTTTGAGTGCAACGTTGGTTCCCCAGAAAGAAAGTTCAGATTGCCACTGGCTGGTGCTTGCGCGCTGACTAAACCAACCACGTGTCAACATGCATCACGGTGACACCCGCCGACGCGCCGACTCTCCGTGAGGACGCGAGTCCGACGTGCGGGGGGGCTGCGGGGTAATCATCCAAACCTGCAAGTCCGCTTACTTGCAGTACACTACCCCCTCGAGCCCCTGGACGACAGTGGATGTTACCCCAACCCTCCCGTTTACCCCATCTTTTAGCGCCCCCTCCCCCCCTCAGTGGGTTCCTCGACATTGAATTCCCGTCCCTGCATCGGAGCAACTTGTAAGCCAACGGGAATGAAGCAACCAACCACATCAAAGAAGGCCCGCACACACCAAACTTCACCACCCTGGGCCCTGCAACCCAAGCATGTCCACGGCCGATCCAATTGAGCCAGTCGACATTACTGGAAGGTGCCCGTGGTGTTCCCGTGGCATTTGAATTTTGTGCCTTGAATCGGGATCCATCTGATCCATCTGATCCATCAGTCCTGGTTCTGATTGTTTCTGATCGTCAGCGTACCATCCAAGAAACCTAAAGTCTCGGTAGACTTTTCTACATCTGGCAGGTTGTTAATATCCTGCCGACTATTCAGGTCACCGAACCAAGTAACACCGGGTCCGGAGACCACCGATGATGCAGGGATCATCCATTTCCAAACCTCTATGGACTTTGCATACTGGAATGGGTAGATAGAATGATGCCATTAGCCAATGTAAAACAAAAAAAGAGGTAGGAAATATGTATAAATATGTCTTGAGATGCGCTCCTCCGTAACCCTCTTCTTCACTCCCCATCCTCATCCCATCTCCTCCCTCATCACCAACCCGCCAAGATGAAGTTCTCCCTTCTCGCCCTTCTCCCGGCCGTCCTGGCCCTCCCTGCCGCGGAGCAGCCTACCGCCACTCTTGCCACTCGCCAGACTGCCAACACGGTCACGGACGGGCTCATCTTCACTTCCACTCTCCCTCAATTCACCGCCAGACGCAACGCGAGAAACCCAGCCACTCTCGACTGGTCCTCTGACGGCTGCTCCTCTTCCCCTGACAACCCGTTCGGCTTCCCCTTCACTCCCGCCTGCCACCGTCACGACTTTGGCTACCGCAACTACAAGGCCCAGTCCCGCTTCACCGATGCCAACAGGCTCAGAATCGATGACAACTTCAAGAAGGAGTACGTTTTCCCCAAAAGTTTTTAGTACACTTATCACTAACTTTATAAACAGCCTCAAGTACCAATGCACTTCCAACGGCCACGGTGGCGTCTGCAGCGCCCTTGCTGATGTCTACTATGCCGCCGTCAGGGCGTTCGGCGGTGGCTCCAAGAAGCGCGACGAGCAGACCCACGAGGAGCTCGTCGCCATCTACGAGGAGAAGCTTGCCATCTACAACGCTCTCGTCAAGGAGGCACAGGAGAAGGGTGAGCTCTGGAGCTTGGACTAAGAGAAGGGATAACTCTTGGATGATGATATTGGATGGATTGATGGGAGGGAAAAACAAAAATGAACGGGGCTTTGAATTTGCCTTGTATATGATATGATGTATGAATGTATTTATTTTCATGGGTTATGATCAAAATATTCTTCTTCTACCTCTTTTTTCGTCGGAGACTGTGATATTGGCTTCGATTACCCTTGGCGGACGAACAACTCCGGGGCAGAGGCAGCTTCTTCACATGGTGGGGAATTCCAGCGGCTGTGACTCGCGGGAAAACTGAGCTGAAATGTTCCATGCAATTAATATCAAAAATAATGGTCCTGTTGTTCCTCCCCTGACAGCCTCTAAGAGTTTATCCGGCAATGGGACGAGGACACTTCAAAATTCAGTCAGGCCTCTTTAAAATGATCACTGCTCTGATCAAGACACCCAGGGCAAACCTGCATCGCAAATCATTACCATGTGGTTCTCTCGCCTGCCGGTGGCTCTCGTAGCCTGGATATCAGCGACCACTGTATCAGCAAAGTTCGGTGTCACAACGAAAGGCAACTCGTTCAGTGTCGACACCAACGGTGGCCTCACATTCGACGTCAACAAGTGAGATGCACCGTATCTGTCTACTTATGCTCTTGTGTAACACTTCACAGGAACAACGGCGACATCACAAGTCTCCTCTACAATGGAGTCCAATATCAAGGAACTTCAAAAATGTCGGCCATCAACTCTGGTCTTGGCACGTCTACTGTCACTGCTGAAACGATCAATAATGTCATCAAAATCACTGTGGTAGCGAAATCCCTGCCTTTGACTCATTACTATGTCGCAAAACCGGACGATCCAACCATTTATATGGCAACACACATCACAGGCGAGATCAGTCCGGGTGAGCTCCGCTGGCTGGCTCGACTCAGACGATCTGCTGTACCCAATGGGTGGCATGGGGATGTTGCAAACCTGGATGGATGCACTGCGTTTGAGGGCAAGGACACGTTCAAGTGCCCGAACGGACAGACTCGGTGCAAGATGTACACGGCAGATCGATTTATTGAGGATCAGGTTCACGGTGTGACTGGGAAGGTAATCACACAGACTTCCTTGTCACCAAGGCTTCACCGAACTGACTCTACCTTCAATTCCTCTCTAGAACGTCGGCATCTGGATGATCATGCCGGGAGCCGCCTACGAAACCTCCTCTGGCGGTCCCTTCATGCGCGACATCAACACGCAATCCGGCGACGACCAAGAACTCTACTGGTACATGAACAGCGGGCACGTCCGCACCGAGCCCTGGCGTTTTGGTCTCATGGGTCCCTACGCAATGCGCTTTACGTCCGTTCCCCCTCGCCCTTCTTCATTCCTCCTCTACATATCCTCCTTCATTCACGTCCCACTGACATTTTTTTTTCTCAGAACCGGAGCCAAACCCTCCCCCAACCTAGACACCACCTTCTTCTCCACCCTCTCAGTCAAAGGCTACGTCCCAAACTCGAACCGCGGCACAACAACCGGCTTCGCCACCGGAATCCCTCCCCAATTCCAAACAGTCCTGCACTGGCACAACAACGCATCCCAGTACTGGACCGTAGCCGACCCTTCCACAGGGCAGTACGTCTCTCCTCTGATGAAAGCAGGCACATACGCAGTTAAACTCTACCGCGGCGAATACCAAGTATCCTCAGACACAGTCACCGTCTCTGCGGGAAAAGGAACAAACAAAAACATTACATCAACCGAACCAGACACTTCGGTCGTGTGGCGCATCGGCGACTTCGACGGCCAGCCTTTTGAGTTGAAAAACGGGGACAAGATCGAGAGGATGCACCCCGAGGATGTGAGGATGGCGAGTTGGGGAGGGAATTACACCGTCGGGAAGTCGACGCCGAAAAATGACTTTCCGATGGCCTTGTTTGCCAAGAAGGGCGGGAATGTCGTTGTGTCTTTCAGTTTGAGCAAAGAGCAGGCTGGTAGTGGCGCCGCGGAGGGTGTGGTGGTGAAAGTGGGCACGACGTTGAGTTTCAAGGGCGGGAGACCGAGCGTGAGGGTGAATAACTGGGCTGGGAGTGATCCGGGGGCGCCGGTATGTTTCGACTACCTTAATTCACTGAACCTGTGTCTATGTGCGAAATGATGCTGATTGTGCGATGAAACAGAAACTGATTGATTCGAGAGGCGTGACGAGGGGGGCGTATAGGGGTTACGGGGAGGTGTATACCTGGAAGGTGCCCGTCGGCACGTTGAAAGAAGGAGTGAATACCTTGACGTTGGGTGTTTACGGCTCGGGGGATGCGAATTTCTTGAGTGCGAATTATATCGTTGATGCGGTTGAGCTTCAGGGACCAAGGGGTGTTGACAGTCCCAAGTAGCGATGCATGTCTGCTTGGATAGACTTGGAATCTGATGTGGTTTGACATGAAAATATTTCAGTAGGCCCGCTGGCCTAATGGTAAGGCGTCAGATTTCGGTGATCGAAAAATACTCTGAAGATTGTGCGTTCGAGCCGCACGTGGGTCGTTAAAATTGTTTATTTTTGCTTCTTCAGCTGGACTAAGCTTAATGCTCCATAATAGGGATCCGAGACTTATTTTTGGTGTGTTGAGACTTAAAGTTGCTGATGGCTTCATACCTGATGTAGCAGCTGTGTGGGGACAAATAGGACTTATTCCTATCAATACGCTTTAGTTGACACGATTTACAATGACTTATTGTCCACTGAAGTGAGAGAAGTTACTGGCAGAGAACTTGTGGTAGTGTGTGGTGATGTGAACCGTGTGATACAGATCGACCAGTATTGTGACCCTTGTAGGTCGCGGCTTTCCGCGGCTGTTACTTTTTAGACTGAGGAAATCGAGAATCCTTTTCATGATTTGCAGTGGCACAGCTGAAGTTGTTCGGTATTGGTCCATCCATGCAAGCCAAGGCACTTGAAGCCTTCTGACAAACTTCAAGTTTTGGCTCGGAACCCTTCAACGGTTTAATGCCAAATTAAGATTATGACCGTCATCTCCTTATTTTGTCCGCCGTCCTGTGCCACACGTTCCTTCGTATTTTCTCCGTTCCTATCCCGCCGTACTTGGCGGGTTGATATTGTGGGGAGTAGCACAGAGTAGCACAGAGTAGCACAGAATAGGATTGTTATAATTCCTATTTTTGGTGAAGCCTGCAAGGGGCAGTTTCACCAAACTTGAGGAACCGATCCCAAGGTTACATATTCACGCCTCCTCTCCCGTTGACATGACTTTTAGAACATTGCCGTTGCGACCAACACCCAAACACTCGGAGGTAACAAGCATGTGGTTAGGCTACGCCTGGTGTTAATAGCAAGGCGCAGAAGCTGAAGGATGGTGGTGAAATGTTGGTTGGTCTCTCCATCTCCCGTAACCATTTTCCTCTATGCCACCTTTGTGGATATCAGAGCACAGATAAATATTCCCATTCTCTCACTGAGATGCTGCGCGGTTGTGTTGCACTGGCAATTCCAGCCGCGGAGCTTGCGTCCAGATCAGCTATGCTGTGTATGTAGTATTCTGTGGGTGTGGCTATACGGCAGCATTTATGCTAGGTTTATACTTGACCTTGGACATATGTAGAGGAGATATGATTGGCCGATGAGAAACACGCAAGGGGACATCCACTGCTTCATATAAATTACCTAGCGCCTGAGCGCTACGTCTGTCAGTTGTCGATTTTGCGCAGCAAAGTCCTGTATGGCGATGGATAACACGAATAACCCGTTGCGGGGAGGTGGTGTAGTGCGCAATTGGACCTTAACTGAGTATTATCCGGCCACTGAGGGGTCCGAGCTCGGCAGTTATCTGTGTGATGCCACGATAATAGGTAATTATACCCGGTACCCAAGGTATGGTGGAACTACAGGTATGTGATCACAGAGTGCCCCCTTACCAAGCATATTCTCCAATCTCCCTCTTCAGTCAACATAAGTGTTGGAAAGAACGCCCACATCTCACCAGTCCAGCACTTTTGGCCGCCCTGGCGTATCAATCATGGACCCTCTGTCAATTACGGCGGCTGTCATTGGAATTTCCAAATCCATAACTGGTGTTGCCAGTGTCTTTCAATGGATCGCTTCGCTCAAAAATGTGTCCTTGGAGTTTCTTGACTTGCAGAATGAGGTATGCACGTGCCGTGTCCCCGCAGCGCGCGGAGCAGCTAACACTGAGGCTCTCTACGACTGGAGTACAGCTCGGGACAGTTCAGGGGTATCTGGACATATTGCGACGAATATTGAACTCTCTGGATGTTGGCCAACAGCCGACTACTCTCCTTGTATTTGAGCAGATTTCTACTTGTCTGAAGCTTTTGGAAGGCGACGTAAACAATATGCACCAGCTATCGAACTCGTTTGTCACTCACCAGAATACCGGAGATGGCAAGGTCCAGAAGATCAATTGGAAGCGGCACAAGGGAATTATTGAAATTCACCGGGGCCGTATTCGTAGGAGACGACTTGATCTCTCGGCAGCAGTCGCGCTTCTACAGCCTGTACAGAGGTGATATCCCCTTCCCCTTGGTATCAGGGGCAGATTTCTAACCCCGTTCTAGCCAAAGCCATGCTACCCTTCTTCTAGCGGTCCAAGAGATCAATCGAACAAACTTCGAAGCTCTCAGTGAGCTAGTCCAGGTATCCACAGAGAGACTCCAGTCATCCATAACTTCCACCGGCTTGTCGTCTGGAAGCCAAGCTACTACCACCGACCGGCAGCCGCCAATCGGAACGACTCACGATAGCCAGTTCCTCAACTTTACCGCCACCGCCAAACAGCGATGTAAGGCTGGATGTTACTGTCAGTGTCATCACCGCCGTGAGGTCAAGAGTTCTTCCAACACTATCATCTCCAAAGTCTTGGGGCAACTCTTCCTCAGTTACAGCTGCCTTCCCATCTGGGGTGCCACTCCTTGCAACTATGCTCAATGTGAAAACAACGCATTTGGAAGGCCAGAATCCGCCACACTTTGCTACATCTTCCCTTCATGGCTAGTCCGAAGGAGTCTCTCGGTTTCTGCCAGCTGGGGTACGCTCGCCGGCCACGGCGCAAAGCTACACATTCGCATCCCAAGGGTCCTTCCTCGCTCCCACAATCTCTGGCAAACTCTTGGTAGCGATTCTGTGCCGGGGCTACAGCAAATGCTCAGCACAGGACAACTTCTTTTCACCGACACAAATTCCCTCGGAGAAAGCGTGTTTTACGTAAGTGGTGTTTTCTTCCCCTCCCTTCAGGCCCTCCGAGTGGCTCTACTCCCACTGATCACGAAGCCATACTTCTCTTGAACAGCTGATCTTCAGCTACGTTGACTCCTCAAAATTGCACGAGTTCTGCTTAAGCCTCGTCGGGGAGCTCGGCGAAGCCACGGTACGACAGGTCTGGCCGATAGCATATCGGATGTATTATTGGAACTGCATGCAACAAGAGAAACGAGAAATGTGGCGCAGACTACTCGTTGCCTGCGGAGATGACAACGACAATAGTACCGGCACCCCGATACACGAAACCATCCTTCAATGGCAACCACGGGCAGGGCTTGATGTGCTGGAAAACGTCGTGCGTGCCAACGTGCACTGCATCAACGTTAAAGACCGTCTTGGCGAGAGCGCTCTGCACTGGGCTGCGCGTCGCAATAATCTCGAGGCGATTCGGCTCCTCCTCGCCTACGGGGCTGATATTGAGGTTAGGGACAAGGACGGCGCCACTCCACTGCTCGCCTCAATGCTCTACGAGTCCTTTGACGCCGCCATGCTCCTTCTTGATAACAACGCCAATGTTAATGCCGCCAGCACCCGTGGCAGGACCTCTCTCATGGTCAGCACGCAGAGCGGTTCCATACCGGCCAAAATCACAAAACAGCTTCTAGCTTGCGGAGCGTATCCGATGCCCAAAACAAGCGTGACCGGGTTTGGAGCTATACACTTGCTAGCCGGTGAATTTCCTGACACGAAGATGGCGACCCACAGTCGCCAGAAACTTGATCTTCTTCTTGGAGCGGGGGTCAACATAGATGACCAGAACAACATCGGACAATCTTCGCTGCTCTTCTCTGCCGCTATCAGAGACCACTTGTTTGTCAAAGCCCTGCTGGAGCGAGGTGCAAGCGTTGATATTGTTGATGCTGAAGGAAAGGGTTTGCTTCAGCACGTGGCGAGAAATGGGACCTGGGAGATGTTCGAGGTTATACGCCTGCACCACCACACAACGGAAGGGGGCTGTCGGATCGACCCCTATCTTGAGAGCGTTGAGGGCCTGACGGCAGCCGACTGCTTCAAGCAGCGGGTGGAACAGATGCAGCAGGCCACGAAGCCACGCGGCGGGTCGGTGCCGAAGGAAAGTCTTCCGCCAGTGTCACAGAGGGATATCGAGGATTGGGTGAGATTGATGGATGATGTTCAAAGCTGCAGTGCGTACCTGCACAGGAGGCTGTATGGCCCAGAGGCCCCAATTGGTGTTGGAGTATAACTTGACTTGTATGAATCCGGAACTGAGAAATCTACCAATTGAGCTGCTGCCCTCTGTCACTAGCTGTTGTTTTTCAATGGGCACCCAAGTCCTCTTTCTCCGGGATCCCTGAAAGCGCCGAGACAAACTGCACGGGAAGCTTTACATCTGATAAGTCTATCACTGTTACTACCTACCTGGCACAACGCCTCAAAACATGACGCTGTACCAAACTCCTCCCGCTTTCGTCTCATGGTATTCAACTCTCAAAAACCTCGGCTTCCGAACTCGATGGCTTTCTTTCCCGAGCCGCACCCGAATCACTCGATTCTCTCGTCACCATTGAAACCTGACTGACATGATTCACTTTGCATGTACAATCACCATCATGTCAGTAAACATCAGTAGCATGTCCAATGAGATGGTTTTGCATGTATTTAAGAGTCTCCTACCTGCCCCCTTCCAAGCCAGAACCTCTTTCTTCATCACGCACTCACACAAGTAACTTCCAACACTTCTCAAAACAATAACTTACCTACATACACGCAACACACGCAACACACAAAGTAAGATGCCTGACAAGGGCGGCGACAAGGGTGGCGGCGACAAGGGTGGTGACAAGGGAGGCGACAAGGGCGGTGATGTCAGCGACGTTAAGAGCACCGGCGGCAAGGCTGTCAGGTGGTGGTAAACCGTACTATCTCGGCCCATGAGTGAATCTGGAAGTATGTGAGCTTTCTGCTTGCAGATTTATCACCTCAGCAACTTTACCTACCTACCTACCTACCTACATAGGTATTGAGGACAATTGACTAATTACGTGGTCGGCAAATGCCAGATGTTAATTTTGACGCCATTCCGGAGGAGGCGAAATGCAAGACCCGTAAAGATGGGTGATTTTGGGGTTTGAGTTGGACTTGGTCTTTCTTAGAACGCAGAGGGAGATTGCCTCGAGATATTAAAATTGAACAAATAAACAAAAGAAGAAGAAAATACTCCACAGTTATTGATCCAGCTGCGTGTCTTCGGGCCCGGGCCGGAGATATCGTGGATGAAGAGGCGACT